CTGCTTTGGGCAATTTCGTACTCAGTGAGGGGTAGTCTTTCATTAAAATTGGTTTCGACTGGTACCTAGAATATGAGTTTAACCCATGTTTGGCCCATTTGGCTTTGGGGTGTCAGTTTGAGCCCACCCAGGGGCCTAATCGTCCGGCAAGGACAATTTCGTACTCAGCGGGATATACTCTTTCATTTAAAATTAATTTCAACTGGTACTTCGAATGTATCAATATAGCCTTTTTTAAGCCCCAGGGGTTCATATTTAGGGTGTCAGTCTGTTCTGGACAAAGTATATGAATTATTGTCATTAAAACATCTATTGGTGGTTAACAGTGTGTACCTAGAATTTTCTACACCAAGTCTCTTGCATCCAGATATTTTGAGCGCTTAACAATATATTCATTAAAGATAAACTATGTCATTTTGCAATTAACATATCGTAAGATTTATATTCATTTGACGATCGACCTCCTATTTACAAAACAATGGTGTTTATCCCAACTGCAGGGTAAACATGTTTAGAGATTATATCCGAACAACAGGGTACATGATTGTTTAGAGGGACTCTATACGAACGACATGATACATCATGGTTTAAAGACTCTCAACTACAGGGTACATCATGGTTTAGATATCCTCGACCACCGATCTGTCCCTGGTAGCATCAAGGCCGATAATTACCACGGGTTTATTTCTGTCTGTTATTCATTTCACGACAGGCTCTTGTGATTGCCACAGTAGTCATACGATTAATTAATAAAATTCCACCATTTTGGATTTCATTTTGCCGGCCATTTTGAATTTCTACCATCCGGAATTCTCGAAATTAAATTTTTGAGATTATCGCTGCCCTTTTATTACCAAATTAATGTTGTTTTTTTAAATGGTATTATATTACCAAATTTGGCAGTCAATTTGAATTCGACACATTCGATTTTTCGACACATTTGTATTACATAACCACTCGCTGTTTGAGGAATTTAAAAAGAAATTATTTATCTCCCCCCCCCCACCACTGAAAGACACTGATTACGAGATACTGCTTTCCGATAATTCCTGAAGAACGCCAAATTGAATTATGTTAATCATGACATTTTACTTTGGCCGATTTTGAGTATGATTTTGTTTGACATATTTATCATTGAACCAAACTGCATTGGTTTCTTTTGCAATTAATTTGTTTAGGATAAATTGTAGCCCGTAAAACGTTACACCAAGAAAAAAAATAAAACGTTTTGTTAAGTATAGCCATGGACGGTTGGTAGGTTTCTCTGCCGATCGCGCGAGACATGACGAGATCTAAATGTCAAGCGATGTGATTTTTGACATGGCAGGATTTTATACGGATTCATTTCTCGAACTCCTCCATAGAATTTACGGTATTCTTATAGTTACATGGTAATTTTTCAACCAGATAAGTATTCCTAAAAACCAGCTTCTGCCAGGCAGGATACGCCCACATTTTGCAAGAGATGGATAGAGAAGAAGTTAAGAACGTGATTTTTTGTACAATCAGGGGCAATAATCCAGAAAGTTATGGCCTGAAATGTGCAAATATCAAAAGGGACAGATCTTTGGGATATAAAGATATATTTTAAGTTTCATCAAAATCGGATAAAAATTGTGACCTCTAGAGTGTCCACAACTTCTACACAATTTGCGTACAAAGAAAGAGCGGTCATTTTGTCAGGCAGTTTCATTTCGATTTTCCCGAAATACGAATTCAACCTTTACTATGGTGGAATGATGATGTATTTAAACGTTTTTTAAAATCGGAAAAAAATTGTGAGCTCTAGAGAATCCACAAGCTAAAAATGCGATTTTTCGAACAATCAGTGGCCATAATCGCGGAAGTTAAGTTAAAGAACCAAGATATTATATAGACACGTTTTTCTTTTTTTAATCGGATAAAACTTGTGACCTCTACAGGAACCACAAGCTATAAACGTGATTTTCGGTTCAATCAAGGGCCATAATTCAGGAAGTTGTGATCCGATATGCGCGAATATCGAAAGGAACCAACGTATTTCAAGTTTCATCGAAATAGGATCAAAATTGTGACCTCTAGAGGGTCCACAACCTTGATTTACACTATTTGCGAACAAGGGGCGGCCATTTTGTCCGACAGTTTTGGCCTGATTTTCTCGAAATTCAAAATCAACAAACATTACGGTGTAACGGTGATATATCCGAACGTTTTTGTAAATCGAATAATAACTGTGACCTCGAGAGGGACAACAAACTAACAACGCGATTTTGCATACAATCAGGGGCCATAATTCAGGAAGTTATGGTCCGATATGCGCGAATATCAAAAGGAACTGAGATCTGTGGGTTATAAACATGCATTTCAAGTTTCATCAAAATCAGATGAAAATTGTGACCTCCAGAGGGTCAACAACCCTGATACACAAGATTGTGACACTATTTGCGAACGCGGCCTCGGTCCGATTTTTACGAAATTCGAACTCAACCATCCTTTAGGTGTAACGGTGATATATTCAAACGGTTTTTTAAATCGGATAAAATTGTGAGCTCTATGGGGTCCACAAGCTAAAAACGCGATATTTCGTACAATCAGGGGCCATAATTCAGGAAGCCATGGTCTGATATGCGCGAATATCGAAAGAAACCGAGATCTGCGGGTTATAAAGATGCATTTCAACAAACATTACGGTGTAACGGTGATATATTCGAACGTTTTTTTAAATCGAATAATAATTGTGACCTCTAGAGGGACCACAAGCTAAAAACGCGATTTTGCGTACAATCAGGGGCCAAAATTCAAGAAGTTATGGTCCGATATGCGCGATTATCGAAGAGAGCCGAGATCTGTGGGTTATAAACATACTTTTCAAGTTTAAACCAAATCGGATAAAAATTATGACCTCTACAGTGTTCACAGGCTCAAAACGTGATTTTTCGTACAATCAAGGGCCGTAATCCATGAAATTGCAGTCCGATACATGCGCATATCGAAAGGAGCCGAGATCTTAGGATGATAAACCAATATGTCAAGTTTCATTGAAATCGGATCAAAATTGTGATCTGTAGAGTGTTCACAAAGAATTGTGGATGGACGGACAGACGTACGGACATGGGCGACGGCAATATTAGTACAGTTCCATGCTTATCACTCTGCTTACCCTGAGCTGAAGATGCTCATTATTGAACTTTGTCAAGGTATTGATGTAATGAAACTATACACTAAATTTCATCACTCTCACTTAATTAGAACTAAAGTTATCGTGTCACAAAGCATCAACCAATCAAATTGCTTATCTTGGTTACCCAAAGCAGAAATTGCACATCTTCAAACTCCATCAAGGAATTGACCTATTAAACACCTACACCAAGTTTGAACATTCTGGCTCAATTAGAAGGAGAGTTATTGTGTCTTACAAAGTGTGACGAACAGACAGACGGAAGGACGAACCCATTTTAATAGGCCCCTTCTTTCTTCGAAAGGCGGGGAACAATAAATAGTTTCTATCCTTACAGGAATAAATATGCCAAGTTCCACGATGTTCCATTCTGAATTCCAGTCTGTAGACAAAAAACACAAAAATTGGGCGTGGCTCTGCCCTTGAGGATTGGACATGGACCAATATAAATAAGTGCAGCCATATGATGGATCATTCCGAATTAGATCCAAATCTGTTATTAATTGCAGCCTATATATCATAGACAAAATATTAACAAAAATGGGTGTGGCATCGCCCAAATGGAAGGGGGGGGGGGCATGCAACAACGCCAATAGTTGCCGTCCTTAGGGTATAAAGAATAAATATACCAAGTTCCAAGGTAATCCATTCAGAATTGTGGCCTTTGGGCTCCAAATACATACATTGGGCGTGGCTCTGTTAACAATTGCGGTCTGTTGGCGAAACACACACACAAAAATTGGGCGTGGATCTGTTCCTCGCGGGGTCGGGCATGCACCAAAAATAATAGAGGTTATCCTTAGGGCATAAGGAATAAGTACGAAAAGTTTTCAAGACCATCAATTAAGAATTGCGGCCTATAGGCGACACACAAACATAAAAAGAAAATGGGTGTGGGTCTTCCGCTGGGGGTAGGGCATGCACCACAAACACTAGGTATGTTCCTTAGGGTATAAGGAATAAGTATGCGAAGTTTCAAGACGACCAGTTAATAATTGCGGCATTTCGGCGAGACAGACACACACAGAGTCGGGGGAGACGGCAATATACGTCCACATTATGAATGTAGACGTATAAAAAGGGCTTCTTTATCCGAAATTAAATATATACAGCATAAGGGTCCAAAATATTTGGAATAGAATTGCCGATATGAGCGATGTTCTTCGCTCGTTACGAATGATTAATGAATTCTTAAATTTTCAATGTCGGATATCGGCTAGTTGTAGGGGATAGATTGAAGAGTTTTGTGTTATTTCTGCTCGGTAATTTCATACTCTTTATAATGGCCTCATCTTCTACCGTCACGATCTTTTTTTTATCCGCATAAAATCATCTTGACTTACAAAGGCAACCGAACAGACGGGCAGATTCCTGGCTTCACGGGGAGTTGGATGGCTGAATGGTTAGCGTGCGCGCGCTGTATCATAAAGTCTGTCATTGAGTCGACTGGCGTCGTTTCGAATCCCCGGTTGTACGTGGCAAGGAGTAGGGTCGCCTGTCCAACCTCGTGGGTTTTCTCCGGGTCCTCCGGTTTCCTCCCACTGCTAAAGACCCCTACGCGCAAGTGAATTATGTAAATAAAATTAAACCATATGTTAGTACCGAAATGACCTAGTTTGTGTCGAGTGGACGTTAAACCCCATTTCTCTCTCTCTCTCTCTCTCTCTCTCTCTCTCTCCTGGCTTCACCCACATAGCATTTGCACCCAATATGAATGTATATGGTTAGATTGTTCACACTCGTGACACCATCTAATATCTTAATTACATATTTAATGGTATATATCACGCTTGTAGCAATATATAATCAATGTACTCACATAGAAAAAACAAAAGTCACTCACCAAATCCTAATGCTTCAACTAACGGGGCTCATCCTTATCGAAATGAAATAGAGTATCGTGCGGTGACTGAGGTTAAAGCGAGTGTTGAACTCCATCAAAGTTCAACCAGCCGTGCTGTGAGTCTTCTACCGATAACAGTGTGTAATTCCATACATTTCAGTTCAGTCTACGTATGGTACTTAATGCATGACCAATTCTAACTCATTTTTGTGAGCGTATCATTATAATCACTGATGACTTAAGATTCACAGAAATGTATACTCCAGCATACTTACATACTGTTTTATTATTCAGCTTCTACGAATTTGCACTGTACGTTTTATATGTCAATTAATTGTGAGTGTATCATTATAATCACAGAAATGTATAATCCAGCTATACTCACAGAATGTTTTATTATTCAGTTTCTACGAATTTACACTGTAAGTTTTATATGCCAATCCTTCCAGACAGCTGGAAATATTATGTATTATTGTGTCTTGTAGAAAGATACCAATGGCATGCGATATTCGATAACCCGACGTTCAACAGTCACGTGATAGTATGTTAAGCTTAATTTGCCATGTGTGAACTCGGATTACCAACAAGGAGAGATTTTGCGTGGGAACTTTCAACCACCATAAATAAGAAACATTCTTTTTTATTTTTGAGTTATTACTGACACTAAAATTGAACGAAGATATAAGTACCATAAGAAAATTAATGTAATAATATTATGTGCAAACTTGATGATCTATGCCGACAATTTAATAACATATGATATTATGACATATACATATCAATATTTATATCATAATAATACATAATTTATACAGCCTGTCCTTTTCTATGGCTGTTCAGAAAAATAATTAAAGAGGCATTATGCTATAAAGTCCAAAAATAGTGGAGTGGAGGGTATGGTGGGCGGTTAACGCGTGTGCGTTGCATCATTAGGTCTGTCATTGAGTCAAGTGGCGTGGTCTCGATTTTCTGCTTGTACGTGACAAGGAGTAGGGTTGCCTGTCCAAGCTCGTGGGTTTTCTCCGGGTCCTCCGTTTTCCTCCCACTGCTAAAGAACCCTACGCGAAAACGAATTAATGAAATAAAATTGAACCATATATTAGTCCCGAAATGACTAGTTTATGTCGATTGAAACGTTATTTAGGCTTTCTATGTTAATAAATGTCCAAATAATAATTTGATGCGAGAAAAACGCTATCTATTAGGAAAATATGGGTCTTAGAAAATACCATGTTAAAACAAAAAGAAAAGAAAATATGTGGCAAGTATGCCCATCCTTTGCCGAGTTGCAATATTTTTAAGATTGAATTTACGTCATGTAGTGTTTCAGCGAACGTTGTTTTAAAATCTTTGCTCTAATAAGTAGACTAGTGCTATGATAATTACTCATAGGTGAGTCATTGCTAATTCTGAATGCGAAGGTATATTAATTTTTCCTGTTGACTGTTTAATACCTCATAGCCGATCCATAATTTATGAATCTATTCCAGCCGGTCCAGATTTTTTGATTTACATGCTTTACAAAAGAGCAACAATATATGGTATCTGTGTAAAATCTTTGTACATAAAAACAAAAAAATAATACCTACCCTGGTCACGAGATATACAGTGGACTCTGTTACATCCGACATCGTGCGGGATCGTTACACTAATTCGGATCACACAGCGTTTCGGAATACCGAGCTTTCTCCAAAACCGGAAATACTGTAACTTCGAAAACCGGAAGTATTTTTATATTGTAGCTTCAAATCACCAGAATGCTATTCTCTTTATAAATGATAAACTTTTCTGTACTTTCAAAATTTTATTATGTTAAATAATTAACAATAACAATGCATGCGTACAATATATTCATAAAATCGTTTACATGTAATATCAATGCATGCGTACAATATATTTATAAATATCAATGCATGTAATCGTTTAAAGTAGTTTGCTTAGTTAAGATTACCGGAAGCATATCGTAAGGCGGAGTCCTGGGCAACATCTTCTAACAAATGAATTGTTGCGATCGTCTTTTCGTCCTTAATCTGTGCGAAGTGTTTATTGTCGTTGAGCATGCGTAGGAATTTTGAATAGGTCAAGTCTGTCGTTAATGTATATTCTTCATCGTCCCCGTCTTCAGTCAATTGTCATTTATAATCTGTCGTTCTATGTCCAGTTTTTCAAGCCAATCAAAGTAAACGGCACCTGTCATCCAAGCTTTGCGATTGGCCGACCAATTGACTGGCAGGTAGATCTTGTCCACTCCCTTAAAACAACTCCGGTTCACTGCTTTACCGTTCAAAGTAATCAACACAGTTTTAATCTCACCGATAATTGATTGGTGATTACTTGTTAATCTTTTCTGGCTTCACACCCATTGAGTTTTAATCTCACCGATAATTGGATGCTCCACACCCACCGTTTGAAGTACGGATTATACGGTGTCGATTCAATGGAAATTATGTGAAGGGACGGCTGATTGATTTGGGAATCAGGAACATACAGAATTCGGATTTACCAGCGATTTTTTGGCTGAAGTAATAAGGAAATAAATCGGAACATGAAAATCATACCGGGTGTGACAGAGATCGGATGTGACAGAGTCCACTGTAACTGCTTAAAATGCAGCGCCTTGATGGAGGATAACACTGGAACCAAAGGTCACCAACCGTGTCACCACCTCATAGAAATGAAATGAAATGAAATGAAATGGGGTTTAACGTCCTACTGATCTGCCCCTACTGGGTTAATGAAGACGGGCATACGCCATACAGTGTGCTATGAGGGAAATTTTGCCCGGGTAGCGGCACTATGGCCTACTCTTATATCGAATTCCAACGCCAATGTATACACGAGACCACGGTTTTTCGTACCATCCCAACGACTAGACAGCTGTCCTGTACCATTGACAAGGGGAAACCATGTCGGAATATAACGACGAACTTTCTCGGCCAATGCAGGGATCGAACCCGCAACCTCCAGGCTAGCGAGCCTGCGTCTTACCCATTAGCCACCAACTCATAGGCCGGGAGCCCTGAGGGTCGAACCTAGACAAACGAGGTATTAATATCTAACCATATAGCCATCTACATGCAAACCTAGGGTGTACAGAAATGGGCGTCTGCCGAGGCTCGGTCCCTGGTGACCCCTGGAATGACGCCCAAAATGGGTTAAACTCATACATTTAAATGAAAGAGTACATATCACTGAATACGAAATTGCCCATAACAGACGATTTTCGCCGTAGGATGGCCCAAACTAACACCCTAAATATGGACCGTAGGATGGCCCAAACTAACACCCTAAATATGGACCCCAGCGGGTTTGAAAAAGGGTTGTAACTTGTATATATATATATATATATATATATTCGAGGTAACTTGAAAAATAATTTTAAATAAAAGTGTATATATATCCCATTGAGTACGAAATTTCCCATAACAGACGATTAGAACGCAGGGACAACCTAGACTAACACCCCAAAGTCGGAGGGCGCCAAAAATGGGGTATACTCATACATACCCGTCAAAACAAATTTTAAATAAAAGAGTAGGCCCTACATGATGACATCTCACGTCTACTCATGCTGAGTACGAAATTGCCCATGACAGACGTTTTCGGACCTGCGTGCGACCAGGTCCCTGTAACGGCCCAAAGTGACACCCAAGAGCCGAGGGGCAAAAACGGGTTAAGCTCATTGTTGAATATTACCACCTTAATTTAATCATTTATAAGGTTTATTCAATTTAGGAAAATACAGTATGGCAGCTTCCATATTATGCTTGTTATTCGATACAGTGGTCACGTGATATTAAGATAACTCTTAAGGTATTGTTTATGGAGTAGGAGTGAGACTACAATTGACTGTGTGATAATGTGATATCACTATATAGAGTCTAAATACACTGCACTCCTTCCTTATTTGAAAACATGATAAATGTTAAAGATTATGGGAGATTAGATAATGAGCTGATAGTTCCCGCTATACTAGATAATGTAAAGGGAATTTGTTGAAAATTTCAGTCAAATTGATCCACCCTGAACCGAGTATTTAGCTATTGAATTTCGAGCCTAGCCTCGATCATCATTACTAAAGTCGGTACGATAAAAACATGGTCTCGATTATCCATCTTTTGATTTAATCAGAAGCAGTAGATCGGGTTCTAATCCAGTAAATATCACAGGCTAACGATGCCATAGAGAATTTATTATGGTCTGGATAAATTAATCAATGTCTAATTAATAATTTAGCAACATCAATAATTCACATACAAACATAACATAACTATTTAACACAGCCGCATTGTTTGCACTTTAAATTGAAAACGTAATTAGTGTTTGTCCGAAATTTCAAATTCAGTCTATCAGGTGGTTTGGTAACTCTGGAAAAATGACGTAACATCTGGGATGACTGACTTAAGGGTTCGTTGTGTGATTATGTTCCAGTTATCTGGACTACTTTCTGTTGTCGTTGGTTTCATGAAGGTAAAGAGTGGTTTGGCGTCCTCGTTTGTATAGTTGGTTTAGATATGTCCATAGTATTAGAAATGTCAATATCTTGTTCAATATCATTATCACTGTCGTTCGCTGATGTTTCATATTGAGCGATATTTTGACGTTCATATCGACGTTGTGGTTGATTTCCATGTTGTACACGAGCGTCGAAACTTAACTCATATGCTTGTACTATACTCGCATCATATACTGGTTGAGTATTATAATAACTAGCTTTCAACAAATTGTCATTTGGAATGTCCACTGGATTTGACGATTTATAACTTTCATCACTACATGTATTACGCTTTGTTTTTTGATGCAAGTTTATGTTGTTATCTCCCTTGCGCATTTGGTCTCCATCAGGTTTCCAAACACGGCCATCATCTAACACGTTATATTTATAGCACGGCTTTCACGAGTTAGCAGGTTTAACCAGAGGCCGAAGGCCTAGGGGTTAAACCTGTTAACGAATGAAGCGTGCTATAAATGACTTGTAACATTGACAAATGCTCATCGTGCATATTGTTATTGCACAGAAAACCCATCCCACTTCTCTATATGATTTCTACTAAAACTAGTGTAAACCAGCAAAAGGGTGCAATAACATTGAACATGTCTAGTTATTGCACGGTTAAGCTCCACCCAATCTACTAGAGGGAAAACAGTCTGCTTATTCAACGAAAAGAACAAAGGAAGATTTCCTATCCATATTACAAGATAATATATGATTTCACCGCTGTCCTTTCTGTGACAGTTTCCGGCCACCATGTCTCTTTTTTCCTTAAATCTTTGACTAGAACAGGATCTCCAGGATAATATTCTCTTAAAGGAAGTCACTTGTTTAGAACATTTTCTTCCAAATTAGGTTTTCCAAGCGATAATCTTATCCTTAACTCACGTCCTAAAAACAGTTTGGAAGGAGTGCATCCTGTAGTGACGTGTAGTGTGAAACGATATGCAAGTAGGAGTGCGTCAATAATTTGTTGTAAGGTCCGGGCACTAGATTTAGTAGCAGTAAGTTCACGTTTGAATGACTGGACCATGCGTCCCGCTGCACCATTACTGACTGCATGATATGGTCCGACTCTTACGTGTTTGACACTGCTCTTCTTTAAAAATGTTTCAAACTCCTCACTAACAAACTGAAGTTTGTTATCACTCACAATTTGATACGGTATACCATATTTACTGAAGTTGTACTTTTCATATAAAACACTTCTGGCCATTTGGAATATGAGTCAACAATGATTAGAAAAATGTGTCCATTTTTTTCAGCGTAATCGATGTGAACTCTATACCACGATGCACCAGGGCATTAAGGGAGCAACTTATGGAGTGTTGTGTCGTGTGTTTGATGACAGCTTGAGCACTGATGTACTAAAGTTTCTATCTCTTGAGTGATGTTGGGCTACCATAGGTAGCTTCGTGACAACTCCTTCATATGAACCATACCTGGATGAGATGCGTGTAGCTCGTTTAGAAGATCTTGTTGATATTTCTCTGGAACAACTCCTCTTAATCCCCATAAAATACAATCTTGATCCACCATCAGTTCATGCTTTCGTTGAAAATAAGGTTTCAAACGTTCATCGTGAACCTCTATCGACCATTCATTCCGAATAAAATCTAAAACTCGAGAGACAACCTTATCATTGCGTGTGGAGGCAGACCACCATTAATTTCCCCATTGACTTCAATGTTAATTCTGGCCTCTTTGCCCACCTCCAACTTTTCCCCAAATTTTCGTTGGACTGAATGCTTTTCACTACAGACAGAGGAACAAATGGTCATGTCTTTGCACTAAGATTTGTATGAGGTTGACCACCCAAATTTTGAGATACACAAACTTGAAGAAGCATACTAAAAACATGTAACTAGTTGCCGTACATATCACCGTAGCCAACCTGATAACCCCGTTATCCTTCCGCCTCAAAATCATGAATATTTACCAAAACCTGGCAGAAAATGTTAATTCAAACCCTCTTCATCCATTCTAAATCAAAAAATCAACAAAAATGTGCATGCAAAAGGGGAGAAAAGAGACAAAGAGAGAATTGTTATAAATGGACGAACTACAATTTGTGGGTACCGAGATGGTGAAATTTAATGGTGATCTTCCTCCGTGTAGCATACCTGATCTCTTTACTTGTCACTGGGAAACTATCGAAAATCTTTTCTCCCGTATTGAAAAAAGTCTCTTCGAGATCATATGATTTACTCGTACACGGTAACGGTAACCTTGATAAAGCGTTTGCAAAGACATTATCCTTTGACGAAATATAATGGAGTTCGTAATCGAAAGCAGATAACTGTATTGTCCACCGTTGTAAGCGTTGTGCTACAAGAGTCGAGATTGCAGTCTTTGGTCCTAGGATACGTTGAAATGGTTTATGATCTGATAGAATCTGGAAGAAACGACCATACAAATACGTTCGGAATCGTTTTAATCCAAGGATAATTGATAAAGCCTCTTTATCCAACTGGGCGTAACCCTTTTCATGTTTGTTCAGACTACATGATGCTTACGTTATCGGTCGCTGTTTACCATTTCTATCCGTATGAAATATAACGGCACCTAATCCGTAAGGCGATAATACGTTCCTTAATCTCATTAAGGGAACGCTCACACTTCTGCGACTACTTCCATGGTTTATTGCCTAACAGTGCATTTAACGAGTACATCTTCGATGATAAGTTTGCTAGAAACTGTGCATGGAAATTCACCACACCCAACCATGAGCGAAACTCTGTAACGTTGGTGGGTGTCGGGGCCTTACGTATAGCCTTCACTTTATCTTCTGTCGTATAGCCTTCACTTTATCTTCTGTAGGTTGAATGCCCTGCTCAGATAGTCGACGTCCCATATATACAACACTTTCTCTCGTGAAGCCACAATTGTTTTCAGGTTTAACTGGTTTCTTATTGCGAACAAGATGTATTACAATGTAAACCAATATCGCAATAAGCTGGGAGAGGGGGGGGGGGCATCATCGTTTATTATAGTGGACAGTATAAGTCGATGGGATTTGAGTTGATCGTATCTTTGTAAATACGAAAGTGAATTCAACCGTTTTAGACTGATATTACATTTACAGATTCATCTTTTACAATACTGTAGTTTGGAATACACCCCAGATACTTTAAGTAGCGACAATATATATTAAACAATCGGGTTAACACAATTTGTTAAACTGCGCATATAACTGATTATTAATTATTATGACATTTAGTGTCTGTAACTGACATTTTCAACTTGCAATGATTCAGCTGTTGTTAATTATATTAATATAAGATTTAATTTGACACATATATGTCCTTGATTAGGTATTAGTTCGGCAAATAAAAGTCAACAAATTATTGCTGTTGCGTTAATTCATTTTATATCTATCTTAATCGCTATTATAATTTTGCAGAAATGTCAAATGTATCCAATAAATAGGGGTATAAATACCATTCCCATGTGAATTGTAAAATATTAAGTGTTAACGTTTTTGAAGAGTATTCCGTAAAAGTAAGTTATTCAGTTTATATATTTTATAGTGTGTTAAGCGTTTAATAGCTCGGGTGATATTCTCAGGGTCTGAATCCAGCAAACTACGGACCCCCCAGCCCCTCCACCCCGAGTATTTTTTCTTATACCTGGTGGTTGATTTTAGAAAGCAATACATATATTTTATATTTTTAGATGAGGAACTGTGTGTGCTTTTTTCTGTATACTCTATGTTTAATGCTGTTTGTCTCCAAGATATGTGCATTTACAGGTCGACAAATGAAGGATCCACCTGGTAAGTTTTCCATAGCGTCAATTGATTCTGATGAATATATTTTTGTCCGTCGCCTTGATGGGAGTTTGAAGATGGGCATTTTCTGTTTTGGGACAAGATAACCTTGATTCTAATTGATGGTGATTGATGAAACTTAGTGTATATTTACACAACATGCATGTACTTCAAAACTGACTGAGTTCGATCGTGAATATTTCCTGTTTAGACTAATAGGCGGGATAAGTTAATCTCAAACTTGGAGTGATCCCAAACAAATTGCAAAAGAAACCATACAGCGGGTTTCAATACTTATATTAGACAACACCAAATTCAAATTCGGCCGAAGTCGGCCAAGGCGAAATTGCGTAATTAATATAATTCAATATGTTGGTCTGCGGGAAGTTTCTGAGAGCAATGTCTCGTAACCAGTGCGTTTCAGTGGGGTTTAACGTCTTACTGTTCTGCTCCGAATGCAAATGAAATGAAATGGGGTTTAACTTCCTACTGTTCTGTTACGACTGGGCTAATAAAGACGGGCATTCGACATACAGTGTGACATAAGGGAAGTTTTGTCCGGACAGCGGCCTACGGCCTACTCTTATATTGAATTCCAACTGTTAAGGAATTTTTTACGTGTACGCCAATGTGTACACGAGACCTCGGGTTTTCGCCCCATCCAAACGACCAGACAGGTGTCCTTGTCAGGCCTCCATCCTGCAACACTTACGAGGGTAATCCACGCCGGAAAATCTCGATGAACATTTTCAGTCAACACCAGAAGCTAACCCGCGACCTCCGGGCTAGCGAGCCAGCGTTTCACTCACTTAGCCACCATGACTCCTAGGAAGGTGTGACAATACGGTGTTAAATAGATGAATTAACTCCGACTTCCACGTTGTGTATATGATCAATTAACATAGGGACACTCTGTTTTATAACTACATGTATGTTTATATATGAAATACAAGAAACTACAACATCTTTGACAGTACATGAGGAGTTACTATAGTATCTACAGTAGGGCTTAACATGCCTAGAACTCAGACCTAACGGCTGAAACACTACATTGTCTCTATCCCAGCCTCGAACCCAGTATGATGTCCTCGCCCGCCAGGCTGTAAGCCGAGACGGCTAACGGTATGACTCACTAAGAAGCCCATACGATGTCTTCCCTAGGAAGTCCAAATGATGTCTGAAGGGAAATTTAACCTTGCCCCTTCTCACATAGAAAGTATAGAGGCGTTAGCTTTTAGGGCGGGACAATTACCATCCCTGGGTAAGTGTCCTGTATGGGCACCACCTTACGTCAACACCTATCTATTTAATTGGACTAATTTGTGCACGAGATGACTGGACAACAGTACCCTACCCCCAGCAATTGATGGTGCCAAGAACTGTATGTGAGTTAGTCTAAGAAAGATGAATCTTGCAAAATACCTACTTAGCCCATTTCTCGATGTCACCACCACCAACCACTTCAATATATTAAACAGAGCACTTTTCATAGAACTAAAATAACAAATATAGTAGTATTACATGGGCAATAAATGTATTGGTTATAGAGGTGGAATGTTCCAAAAATAACAAATTTAACAAAGAAAAGGGTATTTTGCACATGATGCCGGTCAACACAAGCGTGTAAGCACTGATTCTATATGAGCGTCTACTGTTCCTTTCCCCACGACATAGCAGCATCTAACCGTGTCATAAGAGCATGAGCTGACAGGATTTCAATGATAATTGACATGTGTTTCTCCGTATTTCAACGGTTGTTCTGTCTTTGATTGTTAATTCCATTGTAACGCGATTCTTGTCAGCTTGTTATTGACAGAGTTATTGCAAATCGATGCTAGAAACACGCTGGAGGATACATATAGGCATCAAAAACTGGAAACGTATCGTCATCATACCCCTCTAAACCATGTAGTCTTGCTCCAACGAATGATGCATTTGCAGGGGATGTAAAAAGATGTCATTACCAAGCTATTGTGTGGCGTTTACTGGAAGATCGTAATCCGCCGGAACTTGATCCAGAACTGTATTGCTGGGTTAAGAACATTAAATTGAGAAAATTACAATCGGTCAACTTGCTCCGGAGTCTGTCATGTGGCTCATCAGATGTGGATGCAAGACCGACACCTCATGTAGTACGCGCGCGTGTAGTTGCACTAGCGATGCCTTAGAATGTATAGTATTTTGCGCCTGTGCTGAAGGATTAAACTGAATATTACCACGTTTTGTGGGGGTTATTTTCGTGTTTTGCTGGTAGAATTTGTTTTTTTAAGTGTTCAAAAACAGCTTGTGCCCACCTCCTCCCGTTTTTAGGACCCGTCCATATGCCCCTGGAATCCCCGATAGACATGTATGTGATGTTACTGTTATCGTGTGCTGTTATGTCCAGAAATATATAGTTTGTCTCTAGTTTTAGTTTGATTTAGTGAAATAATCGCCCCCAACCGCCGCATTCAAGTTAAAGGGCCATATTGTCTGACATTTTGGATTTTACTATCATCTAATCGCCCCACAATATAATAATATTCCTTGGCCCCAAAACATACGGTTAGACACCAAAAATTTTGTCCTAGACTAAATACTATGGGAGTTATAGGGGATTATTTGAAATGGCGGCCGTCTTGGACGCCATCATGAATTTCTCAAAACGCCCAAGGGTGACCGAGGTTCACCTAGAAGATTCTGAAAGAGGACACCCTAGGCTACTTAAATCAATCATACAAAAAAACTTTGTATGCATTTTTCAGGTTTAGCCAGACTAGTACCGTGAACAGGCCCAATTCAAATCACACTGATCATTATTCAATGAAAGGTGTCCGTGTGTGTGTGTGGGGGGGGGGGTAAAGTTTAAATACAGGTAATCATTTAATTCATCGCCAGAAAGTATTTTCCTATATATCGCACTATTAGTTATTCCTTCGCACATTCATGATTACATAATTTAGAAGAGATAAGAAATGTTGCTATCAGACAATAATCTAATTACTGAAAACAGACCACTTTCAATTTATTTTCTTTATCGAAGGTCCGGCCCGATTAGCCATTAGTAGCATAGGGTGACCTCTTTCAGATCAGCCGGGTGAACCTCGGTCACCCGTGAGCGGTTTGAGAAATCCAAGATGGTGTCAAATAATACCTTATAACTCCTATAGTATTTAGTCTAGGATGACAATTTTAGGGTCTAACCTATGTTTTGGGGGTCAAGGAATACACTGAAATCGTTCATTATGTTGTGAGGTGATTGGGTGATAGTAAAACCAAACTTTCCAGATAATATGGCCCTTTAACTCCTTAGCGGCTATTGAGGGCGATTATTTCACGCGGCGGATTCCGAAAGTATGGAGCGGAATTTCCCCCATAATTCCAACTCCTAACCTAGTTATGTGTATGCTAATATGCTTACTTCTATGCATGTAACTTCTTACTAACACATGTTAAATTGGCTATTTACACATGTAAAAATGCTAATTTATATGACTTATTTCTTTAAATATTGCAGTTAGAATTTGTATTTTGTTCTATTTCCATTATTCCTTTAATTTATTGTAGGCAGTTTCGCTTCGTTAACATTTTGAAATGTTTCGCGGTAAAGGCGCCATAATTCTAAGCCCATTTTGGTAACAGACGGCGCTGTTTACAATTGTATGGTGGCTCATTGGGAACATGAACAATTGACCCGACAGACATGACGACATTTTTTGTCAAAAAAAAATACAAATATTTTACGTACAAAAGCAAAGTATTCTAAACTATTTTCGATAAATAAATAGGCTATTTTATCATGTATTTCCACAAACAATTAACTGTCGATTGTTTTGGCCTATTTGTTTTCTAAAAGAATAATATATACGCCATGCATGAAATTGAATACATCAATATAAATCGGTCATGCTTAGTTTAGCTTTTCTCTTCCCCTCACAATTATGAAATATTTTACGTACACAAATATAGAATTTATGATATCATTGAAGTAATCTATAGCGGGCCAGGTTTCCAAATCATCGGGAGCCGCGGTGTCTCGGTGAGTAAGTCACTGGCTCGGTTACCAGAAGGTCCCGGGTTCGCTCCCGGAGATGGAAGAGAAAGTTCCTCAGGTTTTCCGGCGTGCTTTCCACCTGTCACAGCCTGACAAGGAACACTGTCTTAATGGGACGAAAACGCGATGGCGTGCACCAAGAGTAGGCCATCGCGCCCCTGCCCGTACAAAATCCCCAGAAATTGCACACTTCATGACGTATGCCCGTCTTCATTAGCACAGTCACTGCGTAACAACAGGTCGTAAACCTTTATTTCATTTCCAAATCACCGGTTTTGTGTTAGGATGTAGGAAGACTTTTAGGGATTGGGCGAAAGATTCACCGCCCTTATTGACCCCATTCTATAGGGTCATAACTAAACGAATTTAAAGTTGGTATAGTTCTACATTGTTTACACTCTCTCATCAAAGTCCCATATTATGCTCCTGTTGATGGGTTTCGGGGTAATTATCACCACCCTCCCCTCTTATATTTTAATGTTTCCAAATGAAATGAAATGAAATGAAATGGAGTTTAACGTCCTACTGTTCTGCTCCGAACTGGGCTAATGAAGACGGGCATACGCCATACAGTGTGCTATGAGTGAAATTTTGCTCGGACAGCGGCACTACGGACTACTCTTATATCGAATTTCAACTGTCAAGGGATCTTTTACGTGCACTCCAATGTGTACACGGGACCTCGGTTTTTCGTTCCATCCGAACGACTAGACAGCTGTCCTTGTCAGGTCCTTGGTCCTGCATCACTGACAAGGGGGGACCACGCTGTAAAATCTGGATGAACTTTCTCGGCCAATGCAGGGACCCGATCCCTATCTCCAGGATAGCGAGCCAGCGTCATACCTACTTAGCCACCGTGACCCCCCCCCCCCCCCATTAATGTTTCCATAGGGTAGTATAGATAAATATGGGTTCGATTTTGGCACTTATCTCACGATAACATTTTGGATTATAGCTCCTGATCGTACGAAAA